TGTATGATGTTTTGTTTTCAGTTGAAGCAGATACTGTATAAGGCAGAGACAGTCCACTCTTACATATGTGAATGTTTCTTTACTTTACAATGTGCATTAACTGGATTAGACTGATTTTTTTCCCCATACATTTGAGCTTAAGAAGCACAATTTATGGTACCACATTGTTGTCCGGTTTTGGTGAGGTTATGAATATGGCTGCTGGGACAACAAATCTGCCTTAAAAGGACATTCCTTGAACACAGTTATACATACTTAAAGATTTACATACATACAGAAAATAAAAAGACATATGGAAATATAACCAACAAATTATTAATAAAAGATAGAAAAAATATAAGAAAATAAAGCAGTAAAGATAAAAATATCTATAGATACATAGAAATAATATAATGCAAATTCAAGTAAAGAGAGGAGAATTAAACTGCATGAGAAAAACATCCTTAATGAGATGAAAATTTCAATCATGATGAAAATGAATATCGATGGAAAAATTTTGATTACCTGTGGGCTCTACTTCAATTTGTTCTTCTGTTTGGTTAATTTCCTCTGTTAAATGAATAAACAAGCAAGAAGGAAATATAATTACACGTTAATATAGATTTACAAAACAGACATTAAGCATAGAATGTATGACTCAACACAACTTTCTGTACAGATTAGGAAATCTTCCCATTCTTTATCTTTTATATAATCATAAAATTGAATTACCAACCTGCTTCGTCATCCTCAGGCTGCTCTTCTTCAGCAGCTGCATCCTCTGTAACAAGACAGAGACATTTCACAACAAAGCAAATATAACTTCCTGTTATCTCTGTGTAGTATCTGATATTAACAGATAATGTTAGCATCCGCATTATTGTACTTATTGTACCATTTTAACATAGAAGACATTTTGGGTATTATTTCTTGCTGCTGTATAATAACCACCTGAGTGAACTTGCGAAAACAAGAAAACTTACCCTCTTCTTCTATATTCTCTGCCTCAAGCTCTGTTTCCTCCGATGTGGAGTCTTGTACTTCCTCATCTTCCTCAGCTTGCTCATCTGTTTCTTCTATTATAACTTCCTCTTCTGTTACAGTTTCTTCTGCAGAGACTGACTCCTCAACGGTCTCTTCAGGTGTTTCTACTTCTTCCACTGGTTCTGTTGTTTCAGGTTCCTCCTCTTGTTCAGGTTCCTCAACAGCTTCTTCTACCGGTTCAAGCTCCTCAACAGCTTCTTCTACCGGTACAACCTCCTCCACAGCTTC